TCTTCTCTGCTCCAAACAGATAGCAATGATGAATAAAATATAAAATATAAAAAAGGCCTAATATATATAACAAATTTATGTTATATGTAATTTATTACATATATGTACTTTATTAAAGTACATTTCATTTTCAAAATTGAACTATCAGCTGTTGAAACATGTGATTTAATACACACTGCCTTTATAATCATTCAAAATATGTGTATACATTTCTGGGGGACACCCTATACAAGGCCTATATGACATAGCCATGACAAAAGCAAGCTAAGTACCTGCATAGGTTAGAAACACAAAGCATTGAGCAGGTCCCAGCTGCAGGCCTACTGAGCTTCAGGTCCTAAAGGAGGCCTTGTGACCCAGAATTGTGCTCTGCTCAAGTCAATGTCCACAAAAGCCCTCTGTGTACACTAGAGAGCCAGAGGCAGGCTACCACGCCTCACTAGGAGCTGGGATCGTTTTCCTGCTTCATCTTTCAAAAAGGCTGAAATAAAATATGCAGTTTCTACTTTAGGCAAGAAGCAATGATAGACGTAGGACCTAGACCAACCTCACCCTAGCCCTGGCCTCCTTCTCTAACCCCAATGTTAGTTACACTTCGAGCCCTGAAATGACTCTTAAAATCTTATTCTAAACTAGAGCCCCTGAAGGCTGGATAGAGACAATCAAAACATGGATAAGAAGTGAGAGCAGACCTCAGAGGAAGAAGTGGATTTTGGACAGGAAAAGAGGGAGATATATGTGCCTACAGATCAAAATTCCAAACACGTGGAGAACTCATTCTAAATTCTAACATAATCTGAATCCGCTTCTAAAAATGGCAGCCAACAAAATCCACAATTGAAACATGAATTCATTACAAAAGAAATTAACCTTATGGAAAAGTCTGACAAAGTATTATAATAATGCTCAGAAAGATAAATGAGTTCATGAATGTTTTTTAAAAAGAGTTAGATAATAAAAATAGGAGGCAATAAATCAGGAACAGGTAAATATTAAATGGAAAGCATTAAACATCCAAACATGAAAATTATAGTGAAATTACAAAACAGATGGCATAACATTTAGAGTAGATTAATTGGCAAGTTTTCCATGTAAGTCATTTAAGTATTGCTAGCACAAGTGACTGAAAACATGAGAAATAAAACATATATGGGTTGAGAGTTTAAATTTTCCAAGCTGGAAGAACTATGATTCTTTGAATTAGAAGGGAATGCTGAATTCCTAATAAAATAAATTAAAATAAATTCACAAGTAAATATTTTATAGAGAACTTGCAGAATATTATGTATAAAGAGAAAAACACCTTTTAAGTTTCCCATATATTAGTAGGTTACCAAGGAAGTAAAACATATATTAAATTGGAAGCACACTTGGCATGGTCAGTAACATGCCAGAAGTCAAGGCCGAATAAAAATATTGGTCCAGTTCTAATTGTATAACTATCTGAACTATAATTCAAGAGGGAAGGTGAAAGGAAGCCATTTTCTTGGAACCAGAATGAAGTGAACCCTAGCACACAAAGCAAAGTTTTCAGTTAGAAGAAAATTCAGAGGGGCCGAATTTGATACAGACAAACAGAAACAAAAATGATAAGCATAGAATTTTTTTTAAAGATCGGCAAGTGTAACTATTAGCTATAGAATAATAACCTATCATGCATATGATTAAGTTTAACTATGAGCTGTAGAATAATAACTTATCGTGCATATGACTTCATTTTAAAGTATAACTAATCAAATTGCCAAGAAGGGTGGTGGTGCTCACTGAGCAAGAAAACATGCTCAGATCTGTCAGCTGTATGGAAGAACAGAAACACTGAAAATATTTAGCAAACTATCCATTTATGTGTGTGTGCATGTTAAAAATAAGGGTAAATCATTAAAGAGGTAGAATTATAACCTTCCTTTACAAAGTAGCACAAAAATTTTAAAAAATGTTTCAATAATGTAAGGAAATAAAGAAAAATATGGAAGCAAAAATATATAAACAATAATGATACAAACAAATACGGATGCATTAACAATCTCATTAAATACATATATAATAGATGAAAGTCACCTATTAAAAAATACATTTTCCAGAATGGATCTTTAAAGTTTAGCTTTACATTTCCTAACATCACTCTGTCTTTCTCTCTCCTGGTGAGAGGAAAGTTAGAAGTAACAAGGGAATTAATTCATGTCTAAAAATGAATACAAACTAGGTAAATGGCACTAGATAAATGATACTGTTTGTGAATTTCTTTTGAATGCTCTGTATGTTTCTCTAGGACATCTTGGGTCACACAGCCCTCTCTCCTTCCCCATCGGCCTTTCCTGGTATGCCCAACTACACTGTTTCACATAAAGTAGGAAACTGCTTTTCAAATAATTTCAAAACTCAATATATACAAAAACACCCAGAACAGCCTATGTTAACAGCCTGCTTTAACTCACTACAGGGCTCCTGGCAGCATTAGTGCTCTCCTGCTGAGGCAAACTGCACAGACAGCAGCAGTATGAAGTGGATAAAGCTTTGACACCCAATTCTCTTTCGGCTCTATCTCCCCCATACTGGTCGCTTTAAGCTCAATTACAGCATCTTAGACCTATACCTCTGTTTAAAATATAAGATCAGCATTTACTCCTATTGGTCCTATCCAGAAAGAGGGTGATTTTGAAAGGAGGAGGCCTGATGATTGATGCCAGTGATGCCAGGCTTATACAGGAAAACTGCTCCCAGTAGCCTGGCAGGACCATAAACAGGGAAAAGCATCGCAATTCTTGGTATGAGGCAGGTTTCATTTAAGTGAAGAGGAAAACTGAAACTCTAGGTGCCTCAAACAGGTATTCAGCAACAGCTGACTACTGGCTTTACTTAGGCATTATTAGCTCCTTTACAAAAAATAAAAAAAGCACCTACAGTATGATTCTCTTGGCAAGAATTTCTTAAAACTTCCTCTGATGAGCTCAACCCATGAATCTCTGAAAATGCTGCAGAGTATAAAGGTTAGTCATCTCACACTGAAAACCTAGCCTCCTCCCAGGAACTCTGGGATTGCATCCAAAAGGGTGACCCCTCCACACTTCCGTCTCTTACACATTCACACACACACACACACACACACACACACACACACAGGATCTTATACAACTGCCTCCTGCCTATACTACCACTGCCAGACTTTCTGTGCTTTTCCTTTTCCCAGACCTTTGGATATTACTCTGGTCCAGAGAAATAAACTCTACAGCTTCTATGGAACTACAACTTGAATTACAGCCTCATAAATAAATAAATAATCACCTTCTAAATATAAATATGAGCGTAATATACCCTACTTTTAGCTGTTGACCTGATTAATGACTGATTAAATCCTTAAATCATATTATCCTAGGATCATCTCCATGCTTTAGCTTGTAATACATTCATTTTTTTTAAGTTAAAGAAACTAAAATTATTTTAAATAAAAGCCTGTTATCTTTCTTTTTTTATTTTCATTTTTACATTTAAAGCACAGACTCACAATAACTGGACATTAAGAACTGTTAGAATTATGGCACACCAAGAGTGAGAGCCCACTGTTTTGACCAAAATATATATTTACCTTTAAGTATTGTTTTGAGTAGAAACTGTTGAAAAATGTATATGTATACATCTAGTATATAAAAGCATATTTAGATCTAAATATGTTGAACAGTAAAACAGTAACTTTAAGGATTCTAATATGGCCCAGCCAGTGTGGCTCTGTGGTTGAGCATCAACCTATGAACTAGGAAGTCACGGTTCAATTCCCAGTCAGGGCACATGCCTGGATTATGGGCTCAATTCCCAGTATGAGGTGTGCAGGTGGCAGCTGATCAATGATTCTCTCTCATCACTGATGTTTTTCTCTCCCGCTCCCTTCCTCTCTGAAATCAATAAAAAAATATATTCTAAAAAAGAATTCTCCTATGAATGACAGATATATTACTAATATCAAGTTTAATATACCAGAGATTCATTTAACTGAATATTTAAAAAGTTTAATGGTAGTTATCCAATAATTGATTTAGTATCTTGTAGGCATAAGTGAACTTCCTGAATAACCTGGTGTTATTTACTGAGAACACAGAAAGTAAGAGTGGAAATTTGTAACCATGATTTTCAAGGATATTTCTTCTTGAACTACAAATAGACAACTCCCTTTTAAGAGAACAGAAATTATATATACACAAGGTTCTGTGCAGCCACATTCTCTCTCAATGCATAAATTATTATCTTGAGGTTGAGATAGGCATCAGAATATCATTAACTTCTTTATAACATGTCAGTGCTGATAATGTAGCCACTGATGTTACCTAATTTTATCAACTTCAGATTTAAAAATAACATTAGACAACATTATTTTAAAGGTCAGAAATTCACTCAAAGAGAGGAGGCAATTTGCCCAAACAGGTAACTTCAGAGTAACTGAATGCAAATTAAACTTAAATATCCCAGCCCTTAAACCAGAACTCAGCGTACACATTCACATTACCTTCAAAGTGACCAGTTACCCCAGGAAGCTGTCCCATTAGGTACTGCACAAATTTTATTAAATACAACAGAAGCATAATCTAGTTTCAAAAATCTTCCTCCGTAGACAGAGAAGACTCCCAGACAAACTGAAGAATATAGCTTCCCAAACCATCCTCTGTGCTTGAAGAAGAGGCAACAGGATTAAGGAAAAATGACTCACCTCTTATATTAATCAGAAAGGTAAAATTCAAAAAATAGATTATCCTCCAGAAGTGGAAGCTAGATGAAGAGAATTTACATTGCACAAAAGCAAATAGCTCTTTCTCAACAGAACAACATTTGTAACATTCTGAATTATAAAATATTCATAATAACCCTGACAGACTGGCTTAGAGAGTAAAAAATTATGTCAACTGCCACTTTTCCCCCCTGAAATAATGGAATCAAGGTCACTTTGCCAGTTTAAACACACACACACACACACACACACACACACACACACACACACACACAAAGGGACTTACTGAGCTGTAGAGATAGCCTTCACCATTCATGGCCACATAGAGGCTGGCCTTCACCCCTTGGATGGCCACCACACGCAGGCCCACGGGAATTAGATTGAAGAGAGCTAGAAAGGAAAAAGACAGAGGAAAGGGATCAGTGACCTTTGAATAAATCATCTCGCTTGTAAGATAACTCTTTTGGGAATTAAAAACTATGAACCCAAATGGAGAGGGAAAGGAAGAGGAAGAGGAGAGGGAGAGGGGAAGAGAATGAATGTCTAAGGGTGTGGCCAACTCACCCTTCTTGTCTCTGCACTACCACTATGTGGTTCCAGGCAAACCTCATAAACTCATCTGTAATGAAGGCTTTACATAAGAAGGTTTCTAAGGCCCCCACCTGGATCTGAGAATTCAAGATCTCCCCTCTGCAAAATGAACAATATTCAAACCACGTAATATAAGATGTTTGTTTATTAACAAATAATTTAAACCACATTTTTTTCAATAGTGGAACATGTTCATAGTAAAAATTGCTAATCAAGTATGATCTTTGTAAAAAATGCCAGACTTCTTCCTTTGCTCTCACCACTGTCCTTGTGCTACTGAAATAACTTAAGGAGTACAAGACCTTAAGGTCTCGTTGGGGAAAGAAAGCTAAGACATATAGAATCATCTGACATGGTGTATAATTTATGTCTATAATTAAATGTAATATATGCATTCTATATATATATTCCCCGTGCTACAGAGTTCAGGAAAATGGAAGGTCTGTGTGGAATGAAGTAATCGGGAAATGTCTTACACAGAAGATGGGACCTGAGTTGACACCTAAAGAAAGCACAGCAGTTGAGTGAGCCAGGGACAAAAGAACATTTAGTGGGGCAGTAAATTAGATGGCTCTGCAGGGTAATGGGTGTGTACAGGAAGGGACTGACAGATTAGAGGATTTATATCATATTGGGAAGAAATGGAAAAGAACACCATGTAGATAAGGTAGGGATAAATAACGGAGACTCTGGCATTCTAATCTTAGAGATCTGGACTTTCCCAATGGGCAACAAGAAGTTGGCATAAAAGGATTCAAGCAGCAAGATTACAAAAATGTGTGAGACTTTCAGACAACATAGTTTCTAAACCCACCACTCAGAAGCTGCATGATGTTGAGTTATTCATTTAACCACTCTGCTTTAGTTTTTCGGTCTATAAAATGGGCATACTAATCCTCACTGCACAAAACTGACAGAACAATCAAATGCATCATCATATTCTTGAAAATGTTTTATAAACAGAGATGTGGTCTCTCTTATTATTATGAGTTATTTGTCATTAATATATAATTTCCAATTGTCAAATAAGGTTAGCATAGGGTCTGATGTAAAAATTCATATATCACTCTAGTAATATTGAATTTATATTCAGAAGGTTATTTAATATTTTAAAATATAATGCTTCATATTTGTGCAACACAATTTTCAAAGTGCTTATAAGTCTATTATTGTATTTGACCTGCCACCACAAACACTAAGAAGAGTTCAAGACCGAATGATCATCCTAATTTTTAGAAGGGCAAACAGGTTCAAAGAGATAACCTGGGTAGAACACCATCTGAACAAAGTGTATCTGGTTCTTTAATGAGGTTACTGTCCAAAATATCCTATTCTCCCTTCTTCCATTTCAAGTTTATTTTCTCCTAATAACTGTTCTTACCCTCTTGCAAAATAATGGATGATTCAGCTATTTCCCTACATAACTTGCAACTAGCTATGGCGACAAACTCAGTACTAGCCAATAAGATATAGGCAGAAGGTCTCTATGCATGAAGCCTCCTTCCCTAAAGACAACTCATAAGTGTCTCTTGCCCTGATCTCAACCCTTTGCCTAGCCTTTGCTTAAACAATGTGATGGCTGGAACATCCTAGATCATGAGAACAAGGGCTACTTCTAAGGGAGAGGTAGCAGCCGAGCTGAATTGGAATTGGATCTCCAAGCAGTTTGTGGAACAGTGGCACCAGTCACACATTCAATGTCCCACGTCTGCCATTTATGTGGGAAAATAAGTCTGTGCAACACCGAGCTAATCCTAATCCTAATCCTAAACCTAATCCTAACTGAGAGAGATTGGCAATGAAAGCAGAGTTAGCAGGAAATATACAAACTAGTGTAAGATACTTATGCATTGTAAATAATCACATCTACTAGAAAATACCAAGTTCAATGATTATTCTTATGAGGAAATGAGTAAAATCCAAAATTGTACATAATGTCTTTCCAAGGTAAAGATTTATCAGGGAAAAAGCAGGAACATTGGTTCCTTTAGCTGAAACAGAAATAGAAAAGCAACTATGAAGCTTTACCTATCTAATGAGAGTGAGAAAACTACTCAAGCCAGACAGGGACAAACACTTGAGTGAACGTTTTATATGAACCACAAAGTGACAATGACTTTAGATACTGTGCTTTGGGAGATGTTTTAACAAGTTCATTTAAAAAGTCAGTTCAAAAACCAACTTGTAATTAGACTTTTTAGTAGTAAAAGCTACAAACTGTTCTCTTTGGGAGGGTCTACATCTGCCTCCTAAAATCTTGAAAAATGGAAAGTGGCTTCCCCTTGCCTACTATTTTTCTTCATTGTAGCACACTGACTCTAACCCAACTGGATCCTTTCACTGCTCAATGGGAATTCCTCCTAAGTCTCCATTCTTTCTCTTCATCCTCAAAGCCAGGCCCTAGCTCATGTAACTGAGATACACCATTCAAGTACCTTGCATCTACTCCTACTATTCCTTTTCTTAAAACCTCAAGCAATGGATTCCCCAATGTCTATAAGATGGATCCAAAGTCTTCACTTTGGTGCTCAAAGCACTTTGCAACCTGGTTCCAATCCAATATTCTATTTTATCACCTGTTACTCATTTCATCCACTCTGACCAGCTTTTAAGAGATTTTTTCCATTTGCTAAGTTCTCCCTTGACCTTTAACTAGGCTGATCTTCTTCTTCTTTTTTTATTTTTTTATTTTATGCTCTCTTGAAATAAACTATTTTCCCATTTCTAAATTTGGTCAACTCTTTTCATCCTTTAAGACCTACCATACTGAAGTGCTTCATGAATCTTATCTACAATTGTTATAAGATGAAGAGGTGTGTTCATAGAATATAAATGCAAAATAAGGCAAAAGAAATGAAATGAATAGTTAAAATATTTAGTATTTCTCCAGATATTATAATCTTTGTAATAGCTTTCAGCTTTTAAAATGTAGTTTTTGTGATTTATGTTTTTACCCTACTCAGTTTTGTACCAAACTTTCATTCCACCATACTATATTTATTTTTCCAAAAGGGTCTCCCAAAGTATACAAATTTTAGGATCCATAACACTTAAGTCTATCTCAGAATTAAATATAAGTGAAGGGAGAGAATGAAAGTAACAAATGGGAAAGAAAAAACTAAAGACATTATATTACTTGAATGTCTACTTTTGTTTTCAGGCATCGTGCCAGGCATTCTGATATGCAAAATGTCATTTTTAAAATATACTAGATATATGACTACTTCACTTTATTTCAGAGATAAAATATTATCTTATATTTTGTGTACAAAGTGGATAAATAAAGGGGTTGAAAAGTGTCATTTAAAACTTTGATATAAAATTCCATGGCCTTAATTTAACTCTCATATAGAATTTTGTAAATATTTTGATAATGCCCCTGATTTATCATTTATCATTATTGAGCACTTACTATATGGTCTGTGAGAAATTGCTTCCATTTATAAATCTTTCTGAGATTCCTACTATCCTGTGGGCAAGCGAAGGCCCTAGAAATTTGTACTATTATCCTCATTGCCTTGCATAGCATCTTGGTCATAGAAGTCACTACTCAATATTTGCCAAATAAATAATGAATCAGCAGTGGTTTCTCTTTAAGCTTTCTTATTTACAGCTTTTCTAGATCACATTTCCATTATTAAGTAGTAAAGGGAAAAAAAAACTGAAGAGAACATTTCCACACATAGTATATATTCAAATGTGGAATTTAAAGGGAAAGCAGAACCCTACATGATACTAAGTTTGAGAGGATATGAACATAGGATGTATGGAGCCAGTGTGTGTGTGTGTGTGTGTGTGTGTGTGTGTGTGTGTGTGTTTGTGTAAGGGGATTCAGGTTTGTGGGAATGAAAAGGAGGGGGAAAGAATGGGGAATCTGTTACACCCAAGATATTAGACTTCTTGTACAATTATATTGCACCAGGAAAAAACGTATTTTGTAAAAATGCTATGTTATAATTCAACTTTATTTCTACTTGCCTACCATTATCCACAAAAGTTATTCCAGTGACAATATGGTGACAATCCAAAGGACATCAGAAAGTACCTAATGCGACAACCAATAAAGATGCAAAGAAGGAAGAGAAGGAGAAAAAAGTTCATTCCAACTGGTAAACCTTCTTTTCAACAGGTAAATCCAGCAACTTTCTAACAAAATTCCTTATTTGTAATAATGAAGCACTATAAAAGTGCAGTTGTATTATAAAATTCCGGGTTGAATTTGCTGAATAGGCAATGAAAAAATGCATTTTATGACCCACTAAAAACACAAGTAAATTTATAGTGGAAAATACTGAGAGAAAATGAAACTATTGGGCGTTAAAATCTATGCACTCCCAATATAAGATCATCTTGAAAATTCAGTATAATTTTCCTTACTTCAAAATGGTCTCAATAAAGATATTTCATTAGAGTGTAAATGATATTGTATCCTAAATTTGATACCATATTGTTTTCCCCTTTAATCCTATAGTTTCTATCAAAACCATTTATAACTATAATATTTATAATAATATGTATAGGCTACTCAAATTATTTTCCATTAGTCATGAACATAATATTTATTTCTGTCAATTATTTATCATTTACTAAGGTCAATTTTTTTTCTCCCTCTCTGCTTTCAGTAGGAAAATGATCTTAAAGAACAGTCAACAATTGGGAGATAGTCTGAGCTATGAAATCCAATATGAAAGTGGTTATACAAATTATGGCACAAAATATTAAATTTTTAAAGCTGGAAGCTATCATAAAAATTATTAAATCTGGGAAATAATAAAGTATTTTAATTAAAAACTTGATAG